CTGCATGATCATTTCTAAAGTTGAACCATGGACGTGGTACATTCCCAAACGTTTCGCCGGCATCGTAGTCAGCATCGTCATTGAGTATCGCCATTCTTAGCACCACACAACAACTCGTCTTCTCTGTGTATTTCAGTATCCTGTAGGCGGTTTGAGGTCGGGTATCTTTTATTTTTACCCTTCATCCGTCAATCTCGACGTTCTTGTGCATATCTTTCAACATGTCATGTAATGTTCCATTAATCTTCATAGTTGGGTCCTTCTTCAGTATACAATAACTGGTTATATCTTGTAGTATTAATCCAATCTTCTTTTTGCATTGTTTTCTGCCAATTATCAATGTCTCTCCTTCTTATCTGCCTTAAAGACTAATTGTTCATTCCATTGTAAGGTCCTACGTATCCTCTCAAATATGTTACTGTTTGAAGAAACTCCCTTGACAAATTAATGATAAATTGATCACGTTTGATTTCGTATGAAGAGGTGTGTGGAAGGCATTCGTAAGCTGGTTCAACCGGAGGCTGGAGGGCGGTTGCATTCGATATGTTGTTGGAGATTTGTGCTAATAGGTCCTGTGACCCCAATGAATTATTGCTGACCTTTCCTCCTTCATGCGGCCGATATCGTCAGAACAGGACACCATGCTTGACGAAGGAAAGCATAGGACATCCAACTAAAACATGAGATGCCTTAGTGGACCAAATGGGAATGTAAGAAGGAAGTAGGTTTGAAGCCAGCCACCTTTCTTGCCTTTGCGTTTTTTGGTGAATTATCGTTAAGCATTGTGTACTGCTCTGACGATGTCCGCCACATGAATGAGGACAGTTCAGCAAGGATTCATCGAAGTTGCAGGGCGTTGCGCCGAGTACTTATTCGCACAAATCTACAACCACAGCTCCAAGACAATCCCTCTACAACATCCGGTGGAACCAACTTATGAATCCCTTCCTCTAGCCTCTTCAAACGAAATGAAAGGTACTACAACATCTGTCCAGGTTTGTTGGCTCTTGATCTATCGATATTATTGATATTATTTCCATCTCTATTTTTCGTTTTGTCTCTCCAGGCAACTTAGCTGTGAAATTGATGGCCTCCAAGAGAAGGTCTTCCAAAACGTCTTTGTCATTTCGAAAACAAAAGTTCAGCCGCTTCTTCTGTATCGTAGTGGTTTAGGGATCAAGGGATATCAAGGCTTAATTCGACACTTTATTCTGATCACCATACTAATCAGTCGGCATTGCTGCCTCGGAAACCACATCAACTAAACGGACTGTCCTTAACTTATGCTGCCTTATAACCCCATACCTAAGCAACTTTTTATTATTTTTCTTTATTATTAAGTTAGAGAATCTATGCGATTTCTTGTCGACCATAGTCTGGCGTTTTAGAAAGTCTCCAGGAGTGAGAATCCTGGCTAGATTAAGCCGGACCCTTGAATGTATATATATAAGCTTTTATAATTTATTTCTCTCCATATAATAAGTTTATCTTAACTTTCGACTGAAGGCCTGGTGGGGAATCTCATAAACCCTATCTGAACAGTAGTGTATCTTTGGGTCTTAGGGACTGTGGACAAGATTCCTCCAACTAAGTTGCCCTGACAACACGACCAAGTTACGAAACAGGATCAGACCATGTCTTGGCTAAATCAAGTTCTCAATCATGATTTTCTCGCATTATCGCAGCCTACTCAAGATGAAAATAAGTAGACCTTGCCAGCTCTTATGCAAAAGAGCCAAGGTTTACACATCACCTTCGCATTCTTCGTTCACAAAGCTACTGGTTAAAGACACGAAGATGAGAAAAGCCTCAGGAATTTTAACTACAGGACCGACAGACAAAGGCACAAAATGTAACATCAACATACCTCTTCATAGAGCTGTACTATTGGCTCTCGAATTCGGAACTTATCGTGGAAATGGGAAGTAGAACAGAAATTTTGCAGAAAAACTGAGAGAATCTGATTAGCTACAGAGCTGCCGGAGGACGAAAAGCTGGGATTTTAGGAAGTCGTTAGTGAATCCGAAGCATACTCACACAGATTATATAAAATAATGTCTGCATGATGGTAAAAGTAGTAAGCACATTTTTGTATGATGTACACAGTGTGATATGCATGTTATAAAAATGATCCTTTGGTGATCAGTTTTACTATGTTGTTATACCGGTCTTAATGAGACTTAGACCACTAGGATTGTCCATATATAAATTGTTTGGTTTTATAACGATAATAAAGCTTTCTTTTGCAATCATGCCTTTTATTTTTATAGGTGAGTGTACCAGTCAGATGATACGACCTGCAACGTTAATATTACGTTTATTAGTAAACGTATCGTTTGCTTATATGGTAACTCTAACGTTGGCTAGTCAATTTGTTGTTTCTCCCTGACTCCCCCACTGTTACTTCTATTATTTTCATCAATTACATATTCTCAAAGAAATTCCTATCTTTAATGCGCCCTCTTGGCAGAATACAACTTTGGTCTACGAACCGATTGGGTGTGAAATAGGCTTGAATAGAACTTGGGGAGACGTAGTCATCGCCCAGGCCCAACAGATTTGGATGAGCCAGTTTAACTCAGTCAACTATCGTCTCGAGGCGAACGTTACCTTATCTGGGCCGGAAATCATTTTGTCGTCTGACTGTGCCGAGAAGTGCCTGAGCAGCATCTACAAATCGAAGTGTAATGGATTCATGTTCAACCCAAGACGGCTCATCTGCGAGCTCCAGCTGGTGCCGGACCCTTTCACGTGGAAAGACATGCATACAGACCAATACCTAAGCGAGCATAAGCAAGCGTACAAAGGTAATTTAACAAAAGTGTTGATTCATTTATCATCAATTAAAATGTAAACACTAGTCGTTAAAAACAAAGTATTTGTAAATAGTGGAATATATGTAAAGCATTTAATCAGTCCTATACAGTACGAAATATTTGAGTATAAATGACTACTGACTAGTGACATGAGTACACTCGTAGCTGCTGCCATCTTCATTCTGATCCACTGCAAAATTAAGCCCTCTCTTCGCTCCAATCGCCATTAACACTCGGGCCTCACTGACCTGATAAGCTGAAGTCTTCAAGTGATGCAAATCACGGACAATACAGACTACTTGACTCATTTTACTCGAAAGCCCACTTAAAATCGAAAATACTTCACATATCTCGACTAAATGCTTGTTCTGACACCTTCCCCGTCATTTGTCCATTCATCATTCAGTGAATATTATGAACAGGTTCAACGGCATTGGTACAATTTTCCGCGAGCCCAACGACACAACGGGGCTGGTCCCAGAATCACAAATGACCGCAGAAAGGTGTGCTCTCAAATGTCTGCCCGGTCCTCTACTCACAGACTGCTTGGGCTTTGACTTGTGCCCTGGACCTACATGCTATCTACTCACGGATCCTGGCAAGATCACCGAAGAAACAGTCTACCCACAATCGGAGGAAAACTCTACAGCTTGCAAGCGGTATACACGTAAGTCTGCAGCCTTGTTTAACTGAACAAAAGTCATCTTGTTCCGCCGGACGCCAAGTCCTTGTAGAAGATGAGTAGTGAAACAAACGGTCGACTCTCAAAGCAAGTCACCTTCCGCAATGATCATGGCCAAACATACGACCGCACGTGATCTGGTTCTGTACTTTTTTTTACTGTGTTCCATTCGGTGCATTAAAACCTATTTGCTGTTGAGTTGGTGTCTGGAAGAATCAATGAATCACTGACAAAACGACCAATATTTTGGTTCTAAATGGACGTGGTAGATCACTTTGTGCTTTGGGTAGGCAAACATTTTGAAGTGGTCTGGCCTCGTTTTCGCAACTTGGTCGTGTCGTCAGAGCGACTGAATTAGAGGCACAAAGTCCGAAGTCCTCTGCTGTGGTAGGCATGGAAAAACCACGCATACCCAGAAGGAACTACGCTTATCAGATCGTCTTCATAATTGCATATTATATTAAACGCTTCAACAATGTTTAATGTATGAATAAAAAGTGGGTTTCGAAAAATTCTTTAATGATATATTGTGACATGACTTTCCACTTTGAAGGAAAAGTTGGTCGGAAATAATTCGTGAAGTGGTCTCATCGCAAACCGAAGCAGGATTGCCGCGTATGGAAGTCAGTTCATTTATTTGTAAGAATATAGGATAAGGTAGGAGTACCTTTGATTTTGTTTGGAGAGGCAGGGAAAGCGATTGGTAGGTTAGTCCCACCGGAGGCTGTGGTTGTAGCTTTGTGTGAACATATCCTTGGCGCACCGCCCTGCGACCCTGAGGAATCCTTGCTGAACTTTTCTTCTTCATGTGGCGGACTTGGTCAGAGCAGGTACACCATGCTTCACGATAATTCACCAAAAACACGAAGGCAAGAAGGGTGCCCGGCGTCAAATCTACTTCCTTCTTTTATTTCAATTTGATCCGCTTTGGCATCGCATGTTTTCGGTAGATGTTCCAGCAAAAAGGAGACGGCTGGATCAAGGATCTATCATACGTCGGAGGGAAAGGGATCGCAAGGAAGTTCCGGAAATGAAGCGAAGACGTCTTCAATGAGAGTAGTCAGCTCGAATAAACAACTAAAACTTGGGGGCCCGACATTTCACGTGACTGGGAAGAGGGATTGGGTGACAGCAATAGGAGATTATGATTAAATAATGATATAAGAATATAAGAACCTGGGCGGTCTGAAGATAAGGCGACTTTGTACGTGCTACTGAAGGCTTGAGAAATAGCGCTTGGAGTGGAAAGTGGGCTGGGCCTGGAACCGAGTGAAATCGGCCAACCAGAAAGATAAGAAACACACCCACGGGCCCATGAGGCAGATCCGGACAAGAGGCTAGAGTGGGATTATCGTTGAGCTTACTTCCATTTCGAGTGAAAGTGTTGAGTGAAGAGACTTGAAGGTCGATTCCACCGGAAGACGACGGCGGATTCCTCTTGACCAACTGTCGATTGGCTTTACTAGAACATTCATGCTGACGCTGTGTCTGAGGAAATCTCATTTGATTCTTGACTTGATGGCTTGAAATTAGTTTTGACGATGATACCTTGTTCTGATGATGTTCTTCATGTGACGGACGAAAGCTTAGCACGTTTTCACCGGACTCGAAGGAGCTTGCCTCGGAAACAGCGTCAGCATGAATGTTCCAGCAAAGCCAATCGACAGCTGGTCAAGAGGAATCCACCGTCGTCTTCTGGTGGAACCGACCTTCGAGTATTTTCATCCAACGTTTTTACCTGAAATGGAAGTAAGCTCAACGATTATGAAACAAGAGATTCCACAAAACCCAACTTTTCTTCGCATAATCGGCCTCGATTCTTGACTCGTTGGCCTGATTTTGGTTGTGACGATGATGCCTTGTTCTGATGAGGTTCGTCATGTGACAGACGAAAGCTTAGCTCAACGATTATGAAACAAGAGATTCCTCGAAAACACAACTTCTCTTTGCATTTAGATTTGAATTAGCCACTAGATGGGAGGGGAGAAAGGCAAACAGCAGGTGCCATGACGCCACGGTAAATTGGCCAAAAGAACACACCTCTTGTGAAATATAAACATGTCAGCAGTTGTGATAGGACGAGGGCGAGACTAGAGGGTAGGAAATGGATAGAGGGACCAGGACAAAACAAGGGGCGATAGCATAACCGTTTCGACAGAAAGTCGGTCAAGCGATTGACATGACTTGTCTCCTTGACGAGTTGTAGCTTGGTTGCTGAGACTGACAAGACTCACTGATGCTGACGACTACGAAGCCGGCAAAACGTCTGGGAATGTACCAAGTCCACGGTCCGACTCTGAAAATGATCATACATTCTTTAGACTCCGGACAAGGTGCGTTCCTCTACGCCTTCCTGCTAATGTGACCTTGAAGGGTTAAACGTTGATGACCCTAGACTGAAAGGTTAGGACAAGTGGTTTCGCAACCTGACTTACATGCTTACAAGCTCATATTTCATTATCTCAACCACACTTGCTTACTGACTTACGCCGTCTAGGTCAGGGCTTTCTCTTGGGTCGTTAGGCCTTGAGGATCAGAACCTGAGATTAAACCTTTACGAACCGTATTGCATATAGACGCCAACACGCACACATACACAAACGCATACATTCGAACAAAAGTAGCAGGACCAGTATGAAAGATAATTAG